AGCTGTTAGGAAGGCACATTACTAGCTCCAATGAGTTAAAAACCACATGCTTTCAAAGAAGAAAATTGAAGGTACGCTTTCTCACTTACTGAGACATGCCAGTCAACCACAAGCTTGTTTGCCTTGCTATCGAACGCATACTGTTGCAACCTCTTTATAGTGCATGGTGTCTGAGAAACAAAGAATACTGCCATGGTAAAGGAACCCTTGTATAACAATATAACATGCCATTGTCCTTTCTCCCTTCTCCTAACAGCCAACCCTTTGGATCCCCTCACCCTTCACGGGTGTGCACTGGGCATGACAATAATCCCGCTCTATTCTGGGACTAGGCTTCAGTAAGGATCCAAGTGGCAGCTCTGCATGCAAAACTCCTGGGGCTTCCTGGCACAGCTGCTGAACTCCTAATTCATATAAGGTCTTGAGGGATGCAAGAGGACAAGACGTACCTGTTCACCCCTAGACCAGTGGAAGAAAAGAAAGGAAACAGTAGTGCTCCAAGATCCTAAACATAGGATCCAAGATTTGGAGAGAGCAGAAGCTGTGTATATTGTGCCTCCTGGCAAGGTAGCCCATCAATGTTACCTAAGAGTGATTCTAAGAGCAGAAAGTAGAAGCAAGTACTAGGAGTGCATCAAAATATCTGAAATAAGATGGGGGTCAGTCCTGGGCTTGTGGCGGGGGAGAGGGCATGGAATGTTACCTTCCAAGTCAAACCTAAGGGTTGGTTCATTGTAACCCCTGCAGACTGAATGCCCTGGGCTCAGTTCATGAACCAAACTCTGCAGGGATTACACAGTCCTGCAAGTGGTCTAAGTCAGGTATCCTAGTTATGGGTATGCTATAAAAATCTAGCTCTATTTCCCAGCTGTTTTCTAAGATACTCAAGACTGTTGGTCTAGCAGAATGTGATCATTCAGCTGTATGTAATTACTTTCCAAAAGCCACATCTTTTTGCTGCTGATATCCTTGTTTCACACTTTTACTGATGTTTGGCTGAAGGAATCAGACTGGAAATAAATTATTTCTAAATTCTGTTGTCATGCCTGTGTAAATGGGAAGTAACACCAGTTACGCCAGTGTAGAACCAGCATTATATGCAACTTTTAAAATTCTGAATATGGCCTTTTTGATTTTTTCCCCCCCCAAGGTAGGAAAGAATGTCTCACCTTTCTGAGTATCACTCAGCTGCCAGTAAAGAATGTAACATCTCATATGAGTAGTTAGTAGAAGTGCTCCTCTCCTGGTGGGAGGGAGAGAGAGTTTCTGTGCAAATGTATTAGCTGGGAAGCTTGTTGCTTTTTCAGTCTGAGAGAGTGTCTTCACTGCAGAGTTAGCCCCAGTGATTGGAATCCAGGTCTGAGCACCTGGTTGGTCTTGCCTGCGTGTGAACAGCCACAGAGCAAAGCCCTGCCTGAGTTACTCTGTTCTCTTTGGTTCTGCCTTTTCCTGTGCATGTCACTAGGACTTCTGGGGGGCATAGTCTGTGGTTCTTTGTATTGCAGTAAGCTGAGCTGGTCTAGGATTCTTTCCTGGTATTTGTTCATCCTTGTAGGCATTGGAGGACTATCAGCACTCCAGTGATATAGCCTACATCCTCATTGGAAAGTGGGTGGGTAACCAACCTGAGTGAAAGAGGAACCTAGACTGTAACCCACGCCCAGGTTGAAAGCACCACAAACTCTGGTGAGAGGGTCTTGTGTGTGACAGCAAGAAGGTGGTGGTGGTGGTTAGGGCAACACTAAGGTAATTAGCCTAGTTAACTCTGCTGTGAAGAAATACCCTGAAATTAGTGACCATTCTGATTTAAGACTCCAAATAGGGGTGTAGTAGATGAGCCACTTCTGGATTAAAAAGCTGAAAGAACAGCTTTGTTCCTTTGCACAGGTGAGTCTGCTAAGACCAGCTGAGTTAGACTGCTTGTTGCAAAAGCCTGATAAGGAGGTGTGCCTTTGGGGGTAGAAAGGAGCTGTTTCCTAAAAATCTCCCTCAGAAGTTTCTCCCCAGAGGTGGTTCTAGCATAAGATGGGGCTGGTTGAGAGGACTAGATGAAAGCTGTAGCCTGAAAGGAAGGATTAGACTTTTGATCTAGGAATGGGTAACAGAGTTCATACCTCCTAAGAGCTGGAGTTTGTGATTAGGGTATCTCCTTTCTGCTTCCAAGAAGGCTGGATTAAATGTGCCATAGGGAAAGGACCTTTATTAGGGCGCCATGTTTTGGAAATTTTAAAGTAGTATTCTTGTGATTTCTTAGTTATACATTTTTATACCCATGTGTCCCAAATTCTCTACTACTTTTGGGCCTTTTCTGCACACAAAAGTTACATTGGTTTAACTTGAATCAGAAGTTACATTGGTTTAATGAAACTCATGCAAACCTCTCTGTGAATACTCTAATACCTGTTTATGCTAAGTTTATATCAATTCAGATTACACCTGTATATAAGCCAGATTCAAATTGATTTCAGAGCATCTACACACGAATGTACATCTGCTTAACTGAATTGGTTTTAAATCATATCTTAAGTTAAACTGGTGCAACTTTGTGTATGAACTAGGCCTTGGGTTATCCTTGGGCTGCTTGTAATATCCACAATACAATGAGGTTTTGCCTTAAGAAATCTGTAGAATGGGATTTCTCTGTTATTCATTGTGTGCTGTCCATAGTGCCTGGGGCCTCCAGTCCTCCTTATGGCAGAAGTTATGTTGAAAAAGGAATGACCATAGGGCCTAGGCAGTAGCCTTAGGAATGACTACAATGACCTCAATTAACTGCATATCATGAACAAAAAATAATAAACAACTTTTCCAGTCTCACCTGGCTTCTTGTATGTCACATAAATATAGAGGAAGAGCTCAATGGCATATGTGATGAGAGCTGCCCACCAGTTGATGACAAACATGACACCACAGCACAGCATGGCTCCAAAAAGTGACACCCACATGTTGTAATACTTGAATGCAGGTCTCCAGCCTATTTAAATGAGAATCAGAAAAATCAGAGATGGAAAAGGTGGAAGGTATATTCACACTGCCTGCAGATAGAAATGATTGTGCTGTAAAAGGGCTCTCGTAAGTATTTGATATAGTTTTGTATGCAAAAGGATGAAGACTGTGTTGAGACCTCTTGGATATTCAGACCGCTGGGGTCTCTGAAGTCTCTCCCCCTAGCTATTGCAGGATTGTTCCCTACAGTACCTCTTCAATGGCTTTGTCCAGTTGGTTTTAAACAGTCAGTGCATTTACATGCTTTTGCCAAATCATAGATTACAGAATCAGAACTGAAAATGAATTTTTCCATAACTGCAGGTAATAGGTTATTGTCTCCTTTTTGATGCATTTATATAACTCTCATTAATGTTAATGGGAATTATGCTCCAAGAGGAGAATATATCTCAATATTGTAAGTGCTCCTGCCTTTTAAACTTAGAAATCATTTGGGATCACTGAAAAAAAAATTGCAATTGACTTTAAAAAGGTATTATTCCTACTGCTCTTGAGCTGTGATATTGAATACTTCCCCTGCTAGCAATTAAAATGATGAGTCAAAGGGTGAACATCCATGGTTTGTGGGTCTCTACCAGGTGTTCTTCAGAACAGATTCTTTGGCGAGGGAAAAACACTGAAGGTGTAAGGAGGTCCCCAGTACCCTAACATGGATCACAATAATAATGATGGAATGAGAAGGCACCACTGTGAAGAAATTTACTGTCCTGTAGTCTTGCAATTAGGAACATCTATCACTGTGAATTGACAGGAGCCAAAGGAAACAAGGAAAATAAGGAGAAAAAATTGCTATAGTTTTATATGAAATGTTAAGTAGTTACAGAATCATGACTGATGCACACATGAAGAGCACAAAGGTAATTTGTACTGAGCTCTATGCAGCACAGAGCAGATCTGCATTTGTTCAGCTCTGTAGATAATTAGCAGAAGTGCTTATTTTTTCTGCCCTCTGAACAACTGGCAGCATGCAGACATGTGGGAAGGGACTTGATATATATGTTTATGCCGCCACTGTGGCTTCTTTCACACTGGAAATAGAGTGTATGTCTCTACTGTTTGAAATTAATAATTGATTTGCAGCAGCGGAAAATTGCCTTTACTGTTGGTCAAAAGGGGCATCGTTCAGATTATTCTCCTTATTTTTGGCTGTCAACCTTTCATTCATGAAAATAAAGAGGATTACTCTGACCGTGGTGCTGCAAATACACCTGGATGCTCCCCTGTTGCATATACCTGGAGAGAGGCCCTTCATCCTCTTCTCTCTCCTCCCCTGCCCAGGACTTGCAATGGTATAGACTAGTCAGGGGTCAGAGCTCAGACCAAAACATTAAGCAGAGACCTCATGGATCCCAGTCATCCATTTGGAGGGACTCTCTGCAATTTCTCTACAACACTTCTAATAGCTATGGCAGGCCCACCATCAATGCTGCCACTGTTTTGTTGGTTCATTGCTGCTCTATGTAACCCACTATAGGGGCTGCCATTTCCAATAATAGTCTTACTATTATTAATAACTTACTACAAAATGCACTGCAGAGCTTCTGCATTTATTGGGGAGAAGATCATGCTACTTGATGTGGCTTCTTCCCTCCCCACATTCCTGGCTTACCCACTTTCCCCCAGTGGCTGATAGGCCACATGGAGTTTTGCAAAGGGGTCGGTGGAAGTGACTGTGTAGCTGGGAAAGCATCTCGTGGCAGCTTTGCATCTCGTGGCATTGTTCTGCTCCCTTCCGTACTGTGCAGTTGCAGGGAGCATAAAGCTATATATTTCCAGAGCCAAATTACAGTTTGAGAGAGAGCCATTAGTCTTAACTTGAAGAGATAAGTCACAGTCTTCAGTGGGAGCATGGTCAGGCTGCACATTGTATATCTTATTTGTTTGCAGTGTTGTTGTAGCCACGTTGGTCCCAGGATATGAGAGAGACAAGGTGGGTGAGCTAATATATTCTGTCAGACATTTTATTTTATCTTGTATTTATTATTTCTCTTCAGGTCTGGGAAAGAAGAGCTCTGTGGAGCTCGAACGCTTCTCTCTTTCTGCAACAGACGTTGGTGCAATAAAAGATATGACCTCGCCCCTCCCCCCCCCGTCTCTATCATATAACTTACTCATTTTATAGATGCTGGAACTTTTGCTGGACAGCAGCTAAATGTTAAGTTGCCCTTTTTATGCTATTTTGATATCACAAACTGTGATGCCTACAATCAGTTCATAGTGGGCCCTAAAACTAACCTGGAGATTTTGCATATGATGCATGAAAACAGGAGAAGTTAATAAGCGCGTATGAAGCCAGGAAAAAGTTGGAGATGATGGGAGCAATGGTGTTCAGTTCAGCTGCAAGAAAGAAGCATAAGTATGTACATATATATATCATCTTACCATATGTTCCATTCTATGCATCCGAAGAAGTGGGCTGTAGCCCACAAAAGCTTATGCTCAAATAAATGTGTTAGTCTCTAAGGTGCCACAAGTACTCCTGTTCTTTTTTTGGATACAGACTAACATGGCTGCTACTTTGAAACCTTAGATTTCATGTGCATGTCTTTCTGATGGCTTTGGGGTTAGACAGCTGTTTCCTCAAAATGCACTAATACTTGGATATTGGAGAAGTTCAAGTTACACCTGCAAAACCTGGGTAACTTTCCAGAGGGGGCTAATTTAGGGCCAGATTGTGAAACCCTTACTCAGATTGGGTACTACCTGACTCTACAAATGATATAAGTGACTTTAATGACGCTACTTGTGATGTAAGGGACTATTCAATGGAAAGGCATCACAATCTGTCCTTTAATTTTGGTTTAAGTTTTTTTAAAATGTAATTGAGCGGATGATGCACTTCGTAAAAGCAAAAGGGTGATGGTGAATTTATTTTCTTTGCTTTTTAAGAGGCATTCTGAAACAACACGTCACACACTTGAATTTGAAGTCTTATGAAAAATTAACTTCAAAAATTCCAGACATCCAAAACTGCTGCTAATAATGATCAAATAAGTACTAGAAAGCAATAGCGGGAATCTCCAAGGACCAGTGCTGTGAGCTTGTGTTGAAGTCAGTGGGAATTTTCAGTGTGAAAGGTTTGCAAATCAGTTTGGTTTGTATAATACTTAAAAGAGATTTGAAATGAATGCCAAATGGAAAGTGTATGAAGAAGTGTCTTAAGTGTCCGTGCTGGATTTCCTACTGTGATGAGCATGTATCTCTCCTATTGAAATCAACTGGACCTGTGGGTGCTTAGCTCCTTTGAAAATAACAACATAATGGCAGTAATAACCAACTGTCATAGTTCACTTATGTTTCCTGTTCACATTATGGGCCTGATCCTACTTCATCTGAGATAAACAAATTTTTGCCATTGCTTTCAGTGGGAAAATCAAGCCCCATACATTTTCTGATTCTACAATTTCAGTATTACCTCTGCTTCTCACTATAACTTAATACTAGCATCTCTGGAGTGGATGTTAATGTCTCACCTATTCCTTGTACAGCAAACATTTCATCAATGGATTCAGTTAAGATTCTTTTGCCCTGAGTGTTTTTTTTAAGGATTTGATAGAAGGTGGTCAATGGCCAAAATAATAAATGTTCTGGCCTTGAGCCATAGTTAGGTGGGTCAAGAGTAATGTGTGGCCAGAACTAGCTCAACCATTGGTTGGTGAGCACACCAATTAGCATCTATGCTGAGTGTTTGATGAATGATTTAAGAACAGGATGCATTAATAACCTGTAGCAATCTAAAATGCATTCTGCACTCATTGCACTTTTTACTTTCTTGCAAAATGAAATGAATTAAAAACACATTAAATTAAATGCCAAGATGGAGTGGGATTGAATAGTAGATATTTTTATGAAAATGAATTTAAATTCTCAGTTATTTGTTTCTAAATTATAGCAGGCAATTGGAACATATATACAAACCAATCAGAATGAATGCCATAGCAATAATGAAAGTAAGAACATATCCTCGGAGTGGTTCATTGTTCTTCCCATATCCTTTAGCGAAAAAGTGGAGTGCTTTGTAGATGTTATCCTTGCAAAGAGCCTGGGAGATAAATCAGAATTTAATAGCACTTTTTGCATTAGAAAAAGTTATTTCATTCTAGGGAAAGTTGACCCAAAATGACACCATGCTCTAGTAAGAAATAATTGTATCTATCTCAGGTATTTCAAAGATGTTTATCATCATGGTATCTAAGCACTGAAGTAAGGTGATAATCAACCCCCTAGAGTACAATAGCTAAATAAAATCAGTGATGCTTAACACTCGCTCTTTCTGATACAAACACTTACCAGATAAGTCTCACAAGACCCATGAGAGGTAGCTAAATGGGGGAAACTGAGGCACAAATTAGTGACTTGTCTAAATCACACAGCAAGTCTGTAGCAGAGCTGGGATTTAAATGCAGGAACCCCACAGCTCTTGCCTCTGAATCCCATGCTCAGATCAGTAGGCCATGCCTCTTTCTGTAGTAAAATAATAAGACCTTTCTAAAATATTTTATATCACTGCTGGTAAGAACATACAGTTCAACTAATTACATATCTTGGGAGCAAAGTAGGGTAGAAGGAAATTAATGCTCTTTATTGTACCTGGAAAACCTTGGGTGCACTGACAAGTGAGGCTAGAGCTGACGAGAGGGTCGCAGAAAAGATTCCTGCAGTGATTAGAGGACCAAAGCCAGAAACCATGCTCATAACCTTTGGAAGCAACAAAAGTAAAGAACTGTCAGGCTCGCGAATAGGATACACTGATCCATCATAGCTATTTATATGGTCCCAATTACCAGAGTACCTTAGCACCTCATCTGTATTTATTGGCAAAATCCCCTGTGAGGTCAGGAAATAACATTCTCAGTTTACAGTTTGGAAACTGAGGCCCAGAAAGACTAAGAGCCAAATCTTTAAAGGTATGTAGATGCCTAACTCCCATTACAATCAGCATAAAACCTTAACCATGACCTCAGCAACTTTAAGGCAACATAACTTCTCAAATGTATGGAAAGTGTGGCAGTCAGGTGTGCTGATTTCTTGATATAAAAGCAGCTAAGGTCACTTAAGGCTTTTTGCTAGAGTGTCAGTTTCATGATGCAGGGGCATGGACTGCTTTTTAGTATCTTCTGGAGTGTTGGAAAGAGCTCTTGAGTGTTGTAGGCAATGTGAAAGTGGCAAGCAATGCAGGAGACTTATCTCTTTGTAGCTTATTTCTATGGTTTTCAGATTTTGAGTTAGGGGCGTGTGTCTTGATGCAGCCTTAACTGTCAGTAAACAAAGTTTGTGGGTTTATATATGTGTGTGTATCGTGGTGTGTGTGCGCTTGTATCATTTATGATTTTGCATATTATATAAATAAAACACTTTAAAACCTGGAAATTGTTCATCAGCCCATAACGACATTCCTGGGCTTTACAGCTGGAAAAGTCATAGCCAAGGGTACAGGCAGAGGATCCATTACAGTTCATTCCAGATACAACTGTGTCATTGGTGTTCCCAGTAGCATCACGTACAACACATGCAGCTGGGGAAACAACAGCATGTGATTATTTCCCTTTCTTTTGACAACAGAAGAATGTGCCCCCCATACTTTGGAGCTTAGCTGCATGGACTATGTACAAATGGCTGCTTCTATCCCACAGAGTATTGCTTTTCAGTAGGGTAAGTTCACTTCTCTGGATTGTGAACTTGGGCCAGTGGAGGAGAGGGGGACTGCCTTACTCATGGGAGTGGAACACTAGGTACTTTGGAGATCAGCAGAAAATTATCTGAATTAACTCGGAATTGATGTAGTGAAGTAAATGTTCCATCTATGGCCCCTTCTAAAACTACCAGTATTCAAAAACAATCATGTTGCCAAACAGTTTAGGGTCTGAGCATACATTTCTTGTCTAACCAAGATTCCCACTGGCTTCATAGGTTCAGATCCTCAGCTGCTGTAAATCATTGTAGCTCCATTTAAGTCAATAGAGTTGTACTGATTTACCTGGGCTGAGAATTTGATCCAAAGTCTCTTTGTTACTAATGATATTTATGTTCACTCTCTTTTTGTTTGTAACCCCAGAAGAAGGAAGAAACACATTCGGGCTTGGCTACACTTGCGAGTTACAGCGCAATAAAGGAGCCCGGGCGCACTAGCTCATTACCCATACACACTGGCAAGGCACGTAGAGCGCTCTGACTCCATGGCTACAGCGCTGCTGGTACTCCACCCCAGCGAGTGGAATAACATTTGCTGCACCCTTGCTGGAGCACCACGGTGCCACTGTGAACGAGGTGTTGCTTTACTATGCTCTGATCAGCCTCTAGAAACATCCCATAATCCCCTTAAGTCAAGTGGCCACTCTTGTCATTGTTTGGAATCGGCTGCAGGAATGCGGAAATGCCCTTTGAAAGTTCCGTTTCTGTCAGCCAGCTGCTTATCTGCTCCTAGACAAAGCAAGCCATTAGTGTGGAATGCTGTGTGTGAGAGAGAGAGAGGCGGGGGGGAGGCCGAGGAGGGTCTGCTGCTGTCTGAACTTACAAGACAGCATCCTGACATGCTCTCAGCACCCCAAAAACCCACTCTCTCTCCCCACACATATACACAACACACTTCTAGTCACACTCCACCCCACCCCACCCCCATTTGAAAAGCACGTTGCAGCCACTTGCATGCTGGGATAGCTGCCCATAATGCACCGCTCCCAATGCCGCTGCAAGTGCCGCAAATGTGGCCACGCCAGTGCGCTTGAAGCTGTCAGTGTGGACAGACTGCAGCGCTTTCCCTACTGCGCTCTATGAAGGCTGGTTTAACTCAAAGCGCTCTACATCGGCAAGTGTAGCCATGCCCGAAGTGAACTTATGGAGCTCTGATCTCAACAGCTTTAGCTGCTAATGTGTAAGTTAATACAGTTTTTTCAAACATACCCAAACAAAAATGGTTTAAGGATCGCAAAATACCATTACATATGTAGCAAACCGATCTACAGACTGAACAGAAATGACCACATCCACCTCTGAAATGTAGCCCCCTCTGGTGTTGAAGTGCAGCAACTGCTTAACAGAACAGAGCCCCATTACACAGGTTTAAAGCAGACTTCACTTTCTGAATTCTGAAACTGAAATTGCAGGGGGAATGCAGGTATACAGAATGCAGTTACCAGAGTTTGAATATGGCTAGGGCAACAGCACATCTACTTTTGCATAAAGTACCAACACCCAAAAAGTTGGAAGCCCTTTACTTTTCTCTCTCCTTTGAAAGGAAGTTTCCCACAGAGCCCTAGTACATGTTAGGGCACATATTCAGAGGGGAAGAGTGCCACTTACTAATTGTTTCTTGCAGCATTGTTAAAGTGGAAAGAGACCTTTATTTCTTGATCAAAGATTTATTGCACCCTTTGTAATGAGAATTTAATTGAATGTTTGTCTTACACAGAGGATGCCTGCAGTGCAAGCCTGTGTTCTACCCTGTGTTTGTTTTGTTGAACTGTCATTTCCAAACTCCAGTGCCACGGGGCACCTTGTGGCCTAACATTTCTTCTTTAGGGAATTAATTGATTTATCCTGTCTTGAAATGTGAAGACTCAGAGTTTGCATGTAACTCTGACACTTGTGTGTGCAGTAATGTCAGCAGGAGAGCAGCTGGAGGCCACTTGGAGAACTTTCATGTGAAAGAGGAGCAAAATCATGAGCAGTTTGATTTGTGGTAATTCTCCTACCCTTTACTACCAAACTAGTTTGTTCTTAAGTACTGTACATGGATGGTCTTTGTTGCTAAATCATTTGGCATTGTGGAGTTTCTTTATAATGTGTAAAGAATCTCTCTACCCATATGTAAGCACACATATGCTCAAATTCTACCCAGATGCCACATAGAGATTTTTGTTTTTGCTGAATGGTTTGTTTTGTTTTTTAAATACTATAAAGCCGAAAGAGCTGTCTTACTACATAGCAAATCCTCCAGATCAAAAGTAATGATGAGGTTGAGGATGCGTATAGAGCTCTAAAACTACTTAACTATATTAATTGTGACACAAAACAGATGTTCACTACTTACCTACACATATTGCAACTCCTAGATAGGCAACAGATGTAATCAGAATGGCCAACATTGTTCCTTTGGGTATAGCAGCTTGTGGATCCTTAAAAATTGTAATTGCAAAAATTGATGTGAGTCCTTTATGTATTTGTAAATTAAGAGTGTGTACTGTGATTATTTACAAGTTAGCAAGTTTTGGTGCTGCCACTTTGTGATATTTTTAAATAAAATATTTTAGGGAGGGAGAAATTGTTACCCATTAGATCTGTACAAGGAACTCACTCTCCAGCATGGGGATGGAGTCAGATACTTCTGTGGCACCATCCCCCTCCCCTGAATGCTGCAAAGGAGGCACTGCAGAACTCCATTTAGGGCAGTGCCACACTGTGAGACTCCCTAGCTGTACATTTAGGGGAACTTTAAGTCCCCTTTGCACTAACATAACAGTGGCCCTTAGTCTCCTGCTTTAAGCACTCACCCAAACCATTGTACAATTCAATTAGCCAGTAAGATTAGGGGAAATAGTCATTTTGAAAGAAAGGACACTACTATTACTGTTGGAAACTCATAATCCCCAGTTATGTCCGAAGTGAGCTCCTACCTTTCAGGTTGCTTTTACTTTTACATTAGATTATTCAGGAAAAGTCAGCTATGTGTTATTGCTGGGAGAGGCAAGTGTGTTGGGTCAGCATTTCTTCTATAAACTGTAACTGAAAACTATATCAGCACTGTTCATGCTTCTGTGGATAAAGGGCTCTAAGACATTCCATTATTAATTATGATTTTTAGGAGATTTTAATACCTTAAAAATTCTTGCAGGCAATAACTTGGTGTATACTTGTTCAGCCTAGAAAGCTATTTTTTGTTAATTTTCTTTTTAATTTGGTTTAGTGATAATTT